GTGTGTGTGTGTGTGTGTGTGTGTGTGTGTGTGTGTGTTTATATATGCCATAATACAGAAAACTGACAACATAGCTCAAGGTCACTAGGTCTATATATTGACAAAGGGTTTACAAATTCGGTTCTTAAGAATGTTCAATATTCAAGTAATGCTACCCTGAATACCATCCAGACGGCTCGTCATGACGAAGCCTTTATCCCATCAGCTAAATGGAGTGAACTTTAAGCGATACGTAAATAATGATCACTCTAATGTTCGTTTTGGAGTGCGATAGACTTACCTCCACGTGGTGCACCCTGGGCAACGTATACTCATACGGAAAAAAGTCTATTAATCGGCAGTTGACTTCTGACTTCAAACTACCAAGACCCCACCGCATTTCATATTCGACTAATTCCACAGTACTCACCTTTTTTCTACCTCTGTGTCTGTCTGTCTCTTTTACGTCTGTGAATCATTATTCTGTCCCCCCTCTCGACTTTTTGCCACTTTGGTGTTCCTCTTTCTGTTAAGCACGAAGTCAACTAAAGGGCTAATGATATCTATCATAACGCCTGCCATTTGAAGTAAATAAATAAACGTTCGTATTGACATTCGCATGAAAGATGTTGACAGAATTGAAAAGACTGAACATTTTTCATCTAATTGCCAGTTTCCTTCTCAGGGGGAAAAATGATATTTTTGAGGCTTGACGGAAATTCTTACCCCTCACAATTAATCAATACTTTCTTGCATTCAAATAATTAACAATTAAATCTGAAATAATGCACATATAATGCCTACCTGAAAGAGGTTTAAAAAACTGAAAGCACGAAATTTTAGAAAGAACGGAGGAACTGTGAGTAAACAGATGCATCCTTTTCCCTTTTTTAAACAAGAACACAAGCATCTAAAAATAATCTCCTTGCAGTTACACAGACAATAAAATACCAAACAAATGTGTTCAACACGCCGTTTTATTTGCTGAGTTGACTGTCGTTATCTGCGGTTATTATTTCTCTAATCTACTCAGTTCTAGTAGCGCTAACAGGCATGACAATTAAACAGAAGTAACAATTGTAACGGTTGCTTTTAGAAATGATCAGTGGGTAGTAGGCAGTCTATGTTTTATTGTTTTGGATAACTAAAGCCATTTCTGGTATTTATAAGCTTTTTTATCGGAAATAAATCTTTTTTACAATTCAGACACGTGTAACGGATTGTTACACTAATAAGCCTTGACTTATTCTCAGTAAGCTTTGCGGCAACTTCTCGTAGTTTGGAATAGCTACCAGGATCAGCTGAACTACTTCAACAGTCGTATGGTGTGTGGGGGGGGGGGCATTTATTTGGACTGTGTATATGCTGGGCTGTAAGTGAGTGATGGCATGGAGTAAAATCATTAAATACTTTTAGGATAAGATAGCACTATAATGACTATTGGTTATTGATTGATTAAGAGGACCTTGCACTCGTGACCTTATTTGCTCCCTAACGTGATTGGTATCACTTCTGCAACGTTCTAGAATGTTCGGGCGCACAAGCACTTCCTTGTTTCAGTCATGCTAGAGTTGCGTTCCCCACATACGGATAATGAAGCAACGGAGTTACTTAATGACTGCACAAATGAACCAATTAAATTAGGATATCTCGCAATTTTATTTAGTTATGAAGAAAATACTTTCGTTTAAGGCAATCTTTTTTCTAAACATTAGTAATTTTCTTTTTCATGAAAAAATTAAAATAAGGACAACAATAATACTATTAGTATTAAAAAAAGAATTAGTATGAAATTTTATTCACCTAATAATTAATATATATTTAATTACTATGGAAAAAAATGAATTCACCTAAGCGGTAAGAATTTCACAAGGTGTTTGGGAAAATTGTTCGATTTTTAAATGAGGAGATTCAGGTAAGACTTTTCTGCGAACAAAAAATTATTGCCAAATATTACTCGGAATATTATATTAATTGAAAGCTTCTTCGGCTTTATGGTGTAAACTCGTTCCATTTAGTTTTTAGAATACGCAGAGTGTTGATCCTGTTGCTCGAGGAATCGCTGGAAAATCTCGTTCAACTTTGAATATGAGGGGCAGGCAAGAGGATTAAGATATTGCGTTCCTTAATTTACACGCGTTCAGGTGCACCGGTTTGGCCATAACCGCAGTAGACGTCAACTGTGTGTCAAAGAAGATCTAGTCTTGTTGTAAAATACATGACTATAAATATTATGTTGGAATATCATATTTTGCCGCTATATAAGCTCATAAAAGCAAAAAAGAACAGTGAATACTTCACGAATTACCAAATCTGAGTAAATAACTCGACTCTGGAGGTCTATTTAATTAATTCTCTCTGTATTATTCCCAGTGTCCACCTTTTTTGAAATAATTCATCCCGTTCAAGGTTCAAAATGTCACCACCTACCAACTAGACTCTTGCTAATATGAAGTTGGGAATTTCAATTCCACCTATCCGACAAATCGGTGAGCTCTAAGATTTTTTGTCATCAACCAAAGTGAATCTGGTAAATTAAAGACGAGTTGGAGAAAAAGTATATCTAAACACAATCTTGTGGTCAAGAGAGACGATATTTCGCCATTAGTATCAGTGTTAAATAAAAAAGCAGAATTGCTCTAATACCCAAAACTGAGTAGCGAAATGAAATCAACTTTTCTTTCCATGCGAGTAAATGCCGAGAATGGAGTTGGTGATATGGCAGGCAACCACACTAATCAATAAACCGCCAATAGGTAGCTTTTTGTTTTTTCAAACACCGATGAGATTGTAAAAACATGGCAAATTTCTGCAAAAATGCACGAAAAAAATAAAAGGTCTTATTTTTCAAAAAAGTAGTTTGCAGCCTATTTGGGCAGAATGGAAATTAAATTTTTTAAACTCACAGTTGCAATAAATAAAAGTTACGATGACTCAGATGCTTGAACGTTGAGTTATTTCCTTTAAGTGAATTTTATGGAATCAATAGGATTTAAGTAAATAGCATCTGTAAATTATTAAAAAAAAATGCACAAAAAATTATTTAAAAGTGTTTGACCAGGTAGTGTATTTGAACAAAATTTTATTCATATTTTGAAAAAAATAGCATTTTAAATTATTATGAATAATTTTTTTATAAAATTCACAAATGTATACAGAATAAAGTTTAAATATGTAAATAAGTGCACAAACTTCAAAGCGAAGCAGCACTAGAGAAATCTCTGATTGGCGGTTTTCGTTGTACATCAACAGATGGATCAGTTTATTTATCTATGTTGATGGAGGTGTCGCTGGTCGAATGAGAGCAGGATGGCAAGCCGATTTCAACTGAATGAAAGAAGTAATAACATTCAGGAGTGAGGTTCGCTGCTGTGGTTCAGTTCCAAAGTACATCAAAAGAAGAACTATTCCACACATTGTGCTGATTATTCCAATACAGTTTAACATACAAGCCGCCACCCCCAGACGTTTGGCCTTCAGGAAACGCGATTCTGACACCAACCAAGAACCAGATCCATCGGCTTGTATCTTTCCAGATTCCGGATTGAGCAATTTATGGGCTTTTAAACTTAAAAGAATCGAGAGTAGCCCAATTAAGACATTGATAAAAATTACTACAACGCAAGACATTAAGAAGTACGATATCCTTCTCTGAAGCTCCTCTGTTACTAGAACTTGGCGTTTCTCTACTCTGAGACGCTTTCGAAAGCAACATCCTACGTGTCCCATGTGTCTGAAACCAATTTTAGCAGAAATCGCGAATAATTAAGCGGTGGATTAAGGGTGTATATAAAATATGACTATGTGCACTAATGCATTTATTCCGCTTTTTCTCTTCCCATAGGGCAAACCAATCGAATTTAAGGAAATGGCAAACCAATCACAATGCGGTTGAGAGCGTACATTTTTTTCTTTCATCTGATTAAGGTGAGAGCAAACCTGCTTGCAGCTCAAACTTGAAATAGCCTATTGATTTTGCTAAATGGAGGAAAATTAGGGGTATTTTTGTGACACTATCACAATTTACCTCCACTGACTGACTTTTTACAAAGAAGAGTTAGTAGGAAATAACTTTCGTGCAGGAGTTTCTGCCCTTGTATACAGTGCCCGAAACGGTGTTTACTGAAATGCTCAAAATGACCGATTCCTCCAAAATAGCATTTTTGATTTAACGATTCTGTATGCTTGAGAGCGTTCCACATAGTTATATGATAAATTTAATTTATTTAAGCAATTAAATAATCAAATGTACTAAAGCCTTCGTTTATGTTACAATTTTTAGTTAATTTTTATTATTTCAGGCATGCAATAACTTTTATTTTTAAAATAGCTGAAGTTGTTTTGATTTTAATTAATTATAACCGTACTAAAGGAGCACTCGTTAACTTTAAAATGTTTCATTTAATTTCGATTTAATATTGAAAAGCTAATCTCAAAATTTTTAAATGGATTTATGTTCTTCAGGATATATTTATTTAAGGTCTTTCTGTCTTGAATTTTAATTTACGCGTGGGTTAATGCACTCTATCGATTAAAGTCTGTTAAATCCTTAATCTCTAACGCATGTAGGTGTTCGCATAATTGTCCCTATTAATTTTTTCTAACGGACACAGTGCAACGTTATGAAGGATCACTGATTAGTAATTTTTTCTAATCAAAGACCCTACTGAACTGAAGATAGGAGTGCGACAAATACCCTTTCTTTGAATTCGTGTAATTACCAACGGTGACGTTGTTCTTGAATTAAAGCAAGTAGAACATCAAAGTGACAAAACAGTGGGGATTGTTGAACGGAAGAGTGATTCACAGATGTAAAAGAGACAGACACAAAGACATAGAAAAGGTAAAATAAGCACTGTGGAAGTTGTCGAATCTGACATGCAGTGGAGTCATAGTAGTTCGAAGTCAGAAGTCAAATGTCAGTTAATAGACTTTCTTGCCACATGAGTATACGTTTTTCAGGTTAGTCTAGCGCACACCCATTTGATAAATTATAGAAACTTATAAGACCTATACCCACTCGTCAGTCACATGTCATTTAGTGGTTTCTTGGAAGGAATTGAAATTAAGTGTTTATGCACAGTTCAAATTTGAAAAATGCCCTATCTTTACTATAAAAATTGAGATTGCCAATTTCTGTTGGGGTAGAAAATAATATCTTCTCAGTTCCAATGTGATAATGCCATCTGGAATCATAGTACCCTCCAAAATATTTTGGAAGGAAAACATTCAACCGAGGTGTTAAGTTAGGCCATTGGAACCTCTCCGTCAATCAATGAGGACTGAATATTTTGAGCAACTAGACGGCAATTAGCGAAATTTAAATTTCAGTACCCTAACCACACACATTAGGCAAATTAATTAAATCTTAATCCAGACATCAAATGGTTTAGGAGTCACTGATACAACTTTCAACATTTGGGAATCCTCTCCCCTCTATTGCCCCAGCTGTCAACAAATTTACCAGCTATTCCACAATGAAAAATTCCAAACATTTTGCCTTTCTGAGGATTAAATAGTAGGTGGAACTGTTTATTTAATATTTCTTTTAAATGAGTAATAATTTTTTAATTGTCTTTCAAAATCAAAGTTTGAAATTTAATATTTCTAGTTAATTGTGTCTGCAAATTTCAATAGATCCAAATGGGAGGAGGTGGTTAAGAATGAGGTGCGTTAGAAGGCACGGAAATATGTTTCGCATGTCCAGTAAATGGAGGGAGATAGCATCTTGGAGTAACTATGAGAAGCACTTTCCAAAGAATCTATCAGCATCAACCACTTGGCTACGCCATCTATGCCACTGAATCTACGCCGAGAGGAATCTGTCTCGAGATTACAGATTTAATAACAACTTGACACATATGCAAAATACACAGAAAAATAGAACTTGATTACTCCTTGATTAGTTGTCACTATTCCATCTCCACCTAAGTGCTTTCCCACTTCTCCAAATTCAATAGTTTGGAGGTGGCTTCCCTGATAATCAGATGCAAGAATACTTCCTGTCAAAAAGTATAATTATGTAAAAATATTTAACTTTTTGCCTTGTCGAAATATTCTCCTTTTTCTACAAAGACTTCTTCTAATGTTTCCTACGTGAACTGTGCATGGTTCAAATTGGACGGAAATGACTTTTCTCTGAGGAACGGATTTATTCTTAAATCAATAGTTTTAATTAATTGCTGGCTATGACAGAGATGCTATTAAATTAGCATATGTGGAATATTATGTAGACATCTAGTTGCTACCTACTATCACCTTGGAAAAATTTCCGATTAGTTTTCTTACAACCCCCTTGAGTTCTGTAAATGCGTTGTTCTGTTGGGAATAGTTTCCACTGTGTTAAGATCTAGTGAAAATTCACAATCACTCGTACTCCGTTTGTTTTAAGTAGGAATAAATTTTCATTTTTTTTCCAGAATAAGTCATCACTGATTGGATTAAATTTTTCAGGGATTGGAATTCTCAAAGCAATTTGGGTCAACCTCACGTGGAAGGAATAGACTCGAATGCTATTTAAAGTAAGTCACCAAGTAAAGTGGGGGTGGTTATGTCTGAAACCATTCTAATTGTGGAAACTTACAGTGAAGCAGAAAAATCTACCTTATCTGGACTTGTCTACTTTCATTTCAAACAACCTTAAGCTTCTAAAGACAATAATGAAAAGGAATGATACTCAAATGGTATGCAAATGAATGTTGAGTATGCATTTCTGTAAATTACGAACTATTATATTTAAAGAATATCGGAAGTTCTTTATTTCAAATGGTGGGCGATTTGATAGTTATCGTTAGCCCTTTTGCTGACTTCGGTTTCACAGAGAGGAGGAGGAACATCAAAGTGGCAAAAAGTGAAGAGGGCGAACATAAAAGTGCTTCACAGATGTAAAAGAGACAGACACTAAGGCAGAGAAAAGGTAAGATGAGCGCTGTGGAAGTGATCGAATATGGAATACAATGGGGTCATGGTAGTTTAAAGTCAAAAGTCAATGTCAGTTAATAGACTTCCTTGCCACATGAGTATACGTTGCCCAGGTTAGTCTAGGGCACACCCATTTGATAAATTGGAGAAACTCATAAGACCTACGCCAACTCATCAGTCAAATTTCATTTAGTGATTTCTTGGACGGCCTTGAAATAAAGTGTTCATGTATGGATCAAATTAGAAAAATGCCCAATCTTCATTATAACAATTGAGATTGCCAATTTCTATTGGGGTAGAAAATAATATCTTCTCAGTTCCAATGTGATAATGCCATCTGGAATCATAGTACCCTCCAAAATATTTTGGAAGGAAAACATTCAACCGAGGTGTTAAGTTAGGCCATTGGAACCTCTCCGTCAATCACTGAGGACTGAAGATTATGAGCAACTAGACAACAGTTAACGAAAGTTAAATTTTAGTATGAGTATGCGTTGGCCAGAATGCACCACGTGGAGGTGAGTCTATCGCACACCCCCTGAATATCAGAACAGATGTGAATACATGACAATCTTTAAAGTATTTTCGCCAAAAACAGTGAAAATTGCTTAAATTTTTAGTTGCTCTTTATTTTGGCTATACCTACTAAAACTCAAAGGGGGGGGGAGAGATGAACCAATAGCCGAACTGCTCTTTACTATTAACAAAATATACCTAGTCAAATAGACAGGAATTGGTAATAAAGGATTGGCAATCAAGTTGGCCAATAATGGAAGAAACTCTTCCTCCATAATTGGTCTTTTATTAACAAATGCGAGTGAGGAAATTTAACCGAATCGATAACACAATACGAGAGAAGTGGGTCATCACCCCACTCTATGTCATATTCGACTACTTCCACAGT